CTTATCGGGGTTAGTCTGCGCATGTAAAACTCGTCACAAGCATACGAGTATTGAAGATTCTGCTGTACGTGCTGGTGAGCCCAATCCCCCAGTTGGATGGCTCGTTCCCTAGCCACATGGTCAATTGAGGATTCTTCCATGTGGACTAGTCAAACAATCCCCCAGTTGGATTGTTTCCTCGGTACAAACTTGGTAGTGGTCATACTTACGCATATATATACATACATACATACATATACATTCATTCTTATTTGTCGATGAGGATCCTTCCTCGCTCGTCGTGCCAATAGGCACGCGTTTCGAGAGAGTAGTTGGGGAAAGTGGGAAAGGTTTGAATGGAATGGGTATTGGTATATCTTTATGAGAAATGGATTTCACTTTGGTTTTGACTCAGCTATGTATATATCTATATTGGTTTTGAATGCATGATTTCTGCATTGTTTTCCAAACGGTGGGGTTATTATATGTTGTTTTCAATTATAACGAAACTTTGTTTTTGTCCACTCACATGTTTTCTGTTTTGCGCCCCCAGGCAGTAGATAGACTCCAACCGAACGGCCGTACCCAGTTGTGAACTTCCAAGCCCGAGCTTGTGTAGGACAAACTTTTACTTATTGCTATTCCGTTGAACTTCATTTTTGTTTGTAACAGAATTTCGTAGATATGCTCTGTTATCGACCATATTAAGGTTGATTGTAAGGCCGGATACCTATTATGTAAATTACATGTCATTATCTTGTGCATGCTGCCGAATGAGATTTCTAAATGTGTTTCGACAGGTTTAAAATTTTGGGAATTCCCATTTTTCAAGGGAGACTACCGAAATTTCGGCAGAAAGTCTCATCCCTTTTTAGTAAGTGGGCCCGACATCAATTTGATGTCGAAAATACCATAGAATTCGTCCTGAATTTCGAGGAATTAGGAATGGGTCCTGTCATATAAGCAGTAGAGACTCATATTATTGCTCTCATACACATTCGATGTAGTGTATCAAGAGTTCTATATTAATATTACTTATGTAACAAGGGCAACTTCACATAGAAAGTAGGGTTAGAACAAAAGGTCTGTAGAATATTTCATAATCTTTTATTGTTATTTATTTTCTATACAAGTATGCACGAACTCAGGATTTAAAAATGACTGGGGTTAACTTGTAGGCCAATTTTCTTAATAAGAAAACTTGGATTGAAATTTCGATAAAATTTACTTTGTATTAATGACATTCGTAAATGGTATATAACATGTTAAACACTCTTATTATTTACTTCTGCATATTCAAGTACATTATCAAGAACAACATACTTTTTAAATTTTACATAAAAGAAAACTTGACAGTAAAATCTATAGAGTAACACCCATAAATCCAAGTAGTAACAACCACAGATCCCTAAATTAGACATCAATTAGAAGAGAAAAAAACCCTAATTTATATATCCTTAAATCAAAATTCAGAAGCTATTTTACAAATTAAATGATTTTAAAAAAGAGTACAAGAAGAAGAAAGAAAAAAAGGAAAAAGGAATAACAGCTCACGTGGGCAGCTAGCTGCTTTTAAATATTTTGGATAAAGCTGATTGGGTAAAAGTTTATATGAGTTGGGCTATTGGGTAGAAGAATATTATGGGCTGGGCTGCTTTTCAAGCCTTTGTAGAGGCTGGGCTAGCTAGATATTACAATTCTTAAAATTTTAAAAAGGGCTTTAACCCTATCTAGACAGCAGTAGTCTGTACCGATATACAAGTAATATTGAGGAGAGTGAATTTGAATTCATGAAGCCAGTGTGATTAAGCACATTAGCTATTTGGGGTAGTATGTATTTTTGCTCACCATTTTAACTCAAGGTGTACTCTCACCACCCTTTTTAACACTTGACACTTGTTCATGAACATAACCATGGTTCCACAAATACAAAGCAAATAGTTAACTATGGTTATGCCCATGGACATATGTCAAGTGTTGAGAATGGTGGTAGGGGTACACATTGGGTTAAAGTGGTGAGCAAAAATATTTCTGTTTGGCGTATTAGAATTGTAGTTTTGCATTTAATTTTGTGTATCTCTTTGTTTGCGGTATGGCTAAGCTATACTAATTTAAGAGCTTCTTGTTGTTAACCAAAAAGTATTAAACCCCAATTATGCCAGTTTTAAGTTGAATAAAAAAGTTTATGAAATTCTCATATTAGTTTTGATTTGAATTGGGATTCCAGTTACTACCAACACCAGATCCCTAAATTAGACATCAATTAGAAGAGAAAAAAACCCTAATTTATATATCCTTAAATCAAAATTCATAAGCTATTTTACAAATTAAATGATTTTAAAAAAGAGTACAAGAAGAAGAAAGAAAAAAGGAAAAAGGAATAACAGCTCACGTGGGCAGCTAGCTGCTTTTAAATATTTCTGTTTTTGTTTTTTGGATAAAGCTGATTGGGTAAAAGTTTAAATGAGTTGGGCTATTGGGTAGAAGAATATTATGGGCTGGGCTGCTTTTCAAGCCTTTGTAGAGGCTGGGCTAACTAGATATTACAATTCTTAAAATTTTAAGTCGGGCTTTAACCCTATCTAGACAGCAGTAGTTTGTACCTATATACAAGTAATATTGAGGAGAGTGAATTTGAATTCATGAAGCCAGTGTGATTAAGCACATTAGCTATTTGGGGTAGTATGTATTTTTGCTCACCATTTTAACTCAAGGTGTACTCTCACCACCCTTTTTAACACTTGACACTTGTTCATGAACATAACCATGGTTCCACAAATACAAAGCAAATAGTTAACTATGGTTATGCCCATGGACATATGTCAAGTGTTGAGAATGGTGGTAGGGGTACACATTGGGTTAAAGTGGTGAGCAAAAATATTTCTGTTTGGCGTATTAGAATTGTAGTTTTGCATTTAATTTTGTGTATCTCTTTGTTTGCGGTATGGCTAAGCTATACTAATTTAAGAGCTTCTTGTTGTTAACCAAAAAGTATTAAACCCCAATTATGCCAGTTTTAAGTTGAATAAAAAAGTTTATGAAATTCTCATATTAGTTTTGATTTGAATTGGGATTCCAGTTACTACCAACACTTCAAGTAGGAGTATAAATCCATTTATGAGAAAGTTAACATGTTTATACTCTTTCTTAGCTGTGATTTAAAATAAAGTTGTCTTGATTGTATATAACAAAACTCATTAGCTGGATACAATCTGGAAAGCAAATTCTTGCAAAATAAAGAAAAGGTGAGATGGGGGGAGGAACCAAAATAAGCAAAAATGTCAAGATTAACATTTAATATGTTGAAAAATAAAACAAGAAGGTACGTAATTGAATAAATAAAGGTGGAAAGGGGGAAAAGAGAAATGTTCATGGCCAATGGCTAGTCCAGTGAAAAAAAGTCTTGATTTGCAGACCCGTGGTCTCAATGTTCAAACTCCCATGACACCTGGCAGTGTGTGTATGAAACTGGCGGAACCACTGCAAAGGCTGTAACGGGCTGTAGCCTAATGAGATTTTGGGAAAAAAGAAAAAATCAAACTTATATATTTGCCTTCTTTTTAAATACAACCAAATACGTATTAACCTATTAGAGTTCAAAAAAGTTATTTCTTTCTAAATTTAGTTGCATAGCAGCAATAAAAATACACATTAAAATATGTACTTTTTCAATTATGTTGTTGAACATATTTTGATAATATGTGGTTTCCGGTTGCATTTAATATGTATTTGTTTTATGCTAAAGCTTATTGGAAATTGCAAGGGATTTGTAGCTCAAATAGTTATGTTAAGACCATTTATCCCTGTCCTAGGTTCTCCCCTTCCCCAATATCCCTTGTATCCAGAGAAAAAAAATATTTTAGAAGAGCTATAAACTAGCATGGTTCATATGATTTAATGTATACTTTTATTTCTAAAAGGACTAGAGAAACTGTAAGTACATACAAAAAATGATCATAGATTTTTAGCTAATAGTTTTAGTTAGCCCACCCGTCGAAAAATTCATGATTCTGCCCTTGGTGTATGAGAAACTCCCTCTTTATAGTTTAGACTAGTACTTGTATTTAAAAATATGTTTATCAATCTTTCTCTTTTTTCTACACTTTGATCTTAGCTAAAAGGCCGAGAAACGTATCTCTTTTTTCTAAGTAAAGAGCGGCAGCAGGAAAGACATTGCAGAGAGCATATCCCACGTGTCCCACCATGGAAAGGTGCAAACAGAACAGACCAAAACTTAATTCATGAATTAAAATATTCCCCGTACCAAAAGACAAATTAAAAAAAACATAATTAGGCTTTATCAAAAATAAAAAATATAAATGCATAGTCATGACTCATGAGATGTGAACTCAAAATTCTTTTATTATATTATAAATAATTGGTGGGAATAAAGGGTTATTATTAAGATATACAGTGTTCACATGTAACGTCGTATAGGGAAGCTCTCGGGAGAGAACATGGCTTTTGTGAATTGTGAGCAGGCGTTATTTTCAATGGTGGATACTACAAGAAACCTAGGCATTATATAAAGGCTGCTCACGTACCTGCACCAGTCTCATAGCAATTTACAATGGCAACTCTCATTGCTCCATACCACTTCTCTCCCAACGAGGATGCAGAAGCTCTTCACAAGGCCTGCAAAGGTACTCTCTCTAACTTTTCTCTTTTCTTTTTCTTTTTCTCAGTTAGCAAAAATGGAATTAAAGTATGCAAAAATGGAGTAATTTTTGGGTGTTCCGGGTACATCATGTGGATGGTGTACCATCCAATAGATGAAGGACATATAGAATATTTCCAATGCAGCCCGCCACATGTTATAAAAAGAAATGCAGTAAGTTGGACAATAATTCAACATGTCCTATGTTTATTGGATGATACACCAGCCACGTGGTGTACCCGTAATATATAAAAATTTCTCGTAAAAATAGAAGGAAAAATAAAAAGGAAAGTAAATTAATGTCTTCTGAATCCAGCAGAAGTCATATCCAACACACCCTATAAGAGATTGCCATTTTGCTACCATCTACTAATGACACACCAAAGCCAACCAAAACACACCTAATCACCATCTCACTCTGCTATAAATATTAAGCATTGCAATAGCACATAGCACCATAGGTATTATATCTTCAACAACAATCATCAATGGCTACCCTTATTGCCTCTGAAAACTTCTCCCCCACTGAAGATGCTGAAGTTCTTAGAAGATCTGTGGAAGGTTTAATTATTTCTTCACCGTTCAAATTTTTTTTTCTTTCATGTACATGCAGCTGATTTTATGTTCTATATTTTTTTTCTTTTTTGGTAGGATGGGGGACTGATGAGAAGGCTGTAATCTCTATACTGGCTCATAGAAATGCAGCTCAGAGATATGAAATCAGGCTTGCTTATGAGGAGCTTTATCATGAAGATCTTATCAAGCGCCTTGAATCGGAGCTCTCTGGGGATTTTGAGGTTTTCTATAATATTTCATCACCCTACTTATAATATTGTTGTTTCTTTTTTTCTCTGTCATTAAATATTTATTTATAATAAATTCATGAAAAATATATATGATTGTTCTGCTTTTTGTTGTTGTGTATCACAAAACATAGAAATCTCCGAAAGCTTTTGTCCTTTTCCTACAAAGATATTGAAAAAGGGGTGGAAAAAAGAATATTCTCATCTAAAAGAGCAATTGAACAAATCAATATGCCGTCAATAAATTATTAATTTCAAGTACTTTTTTTGTTTAAATATAACCTTGAACAATTTATCTAATAACAATAAATTATTGGTAAGTTAAGATCTGGCTCTAATCGATCTCTCGATTTTTTGTTACAAGAAAGTGGGCGCATATTTCAATAATATTAAGAGCATCTCCAATAGCCTTTTCAACATATTTTTTTTAATCTCTGCATGCCGTGGTTTTTTTTTTTTTTTTGAAAACCAAGATTAACCACGTAATGTTTAGTACTTATATATGAGTTTAATATTTGTTTTCTACAAAATTCAAACATTTTTGGTTAATTATAGCTTATTTATGTGATACTAACAAAAATAATTTCATTTGGGGATGGCATGTATAGAAAGCGATGTACCGTTGGATATTGGATCCTACAGATCGCTATGCAGTCTTGGCTCATGTGGCAATCAAGAAATCTGAGACTGACTACAATGTCATCGTTGAAATTTCAAGCACTCTATCTCCTGAAGAGCTCCTGGCAGTAAGAAGGGCTTACCAACTTCGCTACAAGCACTCTTTGGAGGAAGACTTGGCTGCACATACCACCGGTGATATCCGCAAGGTACCATTCTTTTGCCCAATAGTCTGACACGTTATGTTGTGAAACTGTGAGTCAATATAACACGAGAATCGACTTGACCTGTCGAAAACATATAACATCCCAAATTGGAGAATTTAGGCCAACTTTGAGGATCGTTAGACTTAAAAAATTGCTAATGGTGTTGTTGATATATGGTTTATGGTCAATGTTACAGCTTCTGGTTGCTTTGGTGACTACTTATCGGTATGATGGTAGTGAGATCAATGCGAAACTGGCAAATTCGGAAGCTGATATTCTTCATGATGCCATCAAAGACAAGGCTTTCAATCATGAGGAAGTTATTAGGATCCTCAGCACAAGGAGCAAGACGCAGCTCATGGCAACCTTCAACCGCTACAGAGATGACCATGGCATTTCCATCAGCAAGGTAAGCACTTCTGTTATAAGTACGTTGAAATTTTTATTAAAAATCCAAGTGCTTTATGGAAAAAACATTTAGAAGTGAGTGCTTTTAGGATCCATATGCACGTTAAGTTTTTGTGCGAAACACTATTGAAAGTGCATTTTGGTTGTTAGAAAGCATTTTTAGCCCATCCAGAGAAACAGTTCCAAACATGCTTCATTGAATAGAGTGAGTGGTGTTATGACTTAATGTTTGTTCTTTTGTCTCTTAGAATTTGTTGGATGCTGGTGCTGATAATTTCCAGAAGGCACTTCACGTCGTCATTCGATGCCTCAATGACCCAAAGAAGTACTTTGAAAAGGTGATAAACGTATAAATTAAAGCTGGATGTGATCTCAATTCTCTTTTCTTTTTCTTTTTTTTCTTTTCTTCCAGCAATTCCCTTTCTGACTCAAATAGTCCCTGTGATTTGGTGTGTAAAGGTACTTCGCCACGCAATCAAAAGGACTGGGACAGATGAGGATGCCCTCACTCGCGTGATCGTTACGAGGGCAGAGAGGGACTTGAAGGACATCAAGGAGTTTTACTACAAGAAGAACAGTGTTCATCTTGAGCATGCTGTGGCCAAAGAAACTTCAGGAGATTACAAGGCATTCCTCGTTACCCTGCTAGGGCAGGAAGCTTGAAACCGTTCTCTGAGCAAGTTATTAGTATAATAATCCAGTTGGTTGTGTTTTATGTTGGACTTTGATGGCAGTCTTTGTTTTCTTATGTTTGTGTCTTAAGTTACCATGTTGGATTGGCTATCTGTCTTCGTCTATGTTTGTTGGAGTTTTAGTTTTTATAAAGAGTTGTCTGTCAGACTTTCAAATTTGATGGATGAATTAAGCAGAAGTTATATTTATAGCTAGTCTTGCAATGTGTTTGGATTGATAATTTGATAGCAATGGAGAAAAAGAAACAGAAAAAAGAATAAAATTTTAAAATCTCTTGTTGTATGGACTTCTTTTCTAGAGCCGGCTTTGAGAATTTGAGGACCCTGCGCAAAACTTAAATTGAGATCCTCACATCATCTAACACAAAAATACTACAGAAAAAGTATCGTGAATAGATGCCATAAACCAATAAAAGTAAGGAACAACTATTCATGAAGACATATATACTTAGTCTAGTGGTATTGTCTGGTAAAGTTGTTTGATTGGCAAGGGTTCAATGCTCCTTAGTGCCATTTAATCGGGGGCTCTATGTGTGACGCTCTAGCAAGAAAGCAACCATGAAAGACAGCAACAATTGAAGAGGGCAACACAGAAACCCTTCAAATAATCCCAACAAGCCCCAAACTTTGACTCCCAACCAGTTTTAGCCTCCTCTTGCAGCCAAAGTGAGTAAGAAATCCTTATAATTCCCATTAGCTGTTGCTTCAATTTTCTCGGTTAAAGAAACTCCATACCGGTTCCGGTATTCCTCTTTGATCTCCTTCATGTCTGCGTCGGCTCGGGTGACGATTACCCTAGTCAATCCCTTTTTGATGCTCTTATCCACACCATTTCTCAATGAAATTTCCAAGACCTGATAAGACACAAGAATTTGAAAATGTCATGCCTAATATTGGCTGCATGCGAAACAGAAAAAATCTATGTGACTCTGCCTTACCTGGCTGAAATATGTGTGAGGAGTACATAGGCATTGCACTGTCTCTTTTAACCTCAAAGCATCATCAAGATCCTAAACAAAAAAGCAAGATAATAGATTTCTATAAGCTCAATAATATGAATTGGAGTTCTGGTTTCAAATTTCTGAACAATAATCCAACCCTTTGTTTTTCTCGAAAAATGCTAGGGAGACCACATATTTGAATACCACATGACGTAGCAAGTGAGGTTTAAATGCCGTGTTACTTGCCACATCATGTGTTATTCAAACATGTACAAAAATGTAGTCTCTCTAGCATTATTACTCTCTTTTTCTCCGACCTAAGTGACATTATCACATTGGAGTATGCAAAGTTGTATCTCATATGCATACCTCATCGATGTTGTGGCCAGAAATCTCCTGGTAGTGTTTATATATTTCCTTGAGATGGGGCTTGCTCCTTGTTGATAGTATCCTAATGACCTCATCATCTTCAATGGGGTTCCTCTTATCTGCATTCTTAATGGCATGAGCAAGTGTTTTGGCCTCGGATTTTGCAGTGTCATCTTTAACCTTTGGTCCTTCATACCTGTAGGCACTCACAAGCGCAACCAAGAGCTGTACAAACCAAATGCCATACAGGAAGAACCAAAGAAAAAAAACAGTTAAATACTTTCACATTTCATGCCATTTATTACACTACAAAAGATTAAAACAGTTTTTGAAACTGATGAGATGAAAAATTGAATGTGGAAGACTCTGATTTACCTTTCCTTCAGGGCCATCAATGTGGTAGGCAACGTCTTCCTCAATGGAGTGATCAAAGAGGGAATGGTAGGCCTTCCTAGCTCCTAAAAGCTCCTCAGCCGATCTAGTACATGCAATCTCCACAAGCACACTGTATGTTTGTGGGCCTTTCTTCAAGGCCTCCTTCACCAAACGAGCATCCCTTTCCCATGAATGCATAGTCCATAGCACCACAGCATTCTGACAGAAATCAAAAAGGGACTCATCACTCTTTATTCATTGATCATGTATACATGTACAAATTTGAAGATCAATGTTCTCTTATTAGATTGTGAACTGTCCGGAAAGTCAAGTGTTATCGGATTGTGAGTCAACACCAAACATACATGTTATCTTATTAGACTATAAATTGTCCGGCAAGTCAAATTGTCAAACTGTCAATCATAACCACACAATCCGACATGAATTTCCCTAATCAATGATTTTGATTCATGTATGACAACATAGTATACCCACCAGTTTGGTAAGAAATAAAATTACCATTATATGTGTATGTTACCATTTATGAGATACATTGTATGAGTAATTATAGTGAAGAAAAGCCCAAAAAAAACACATTGATGAAATTAAAGTTTGAATAATTGACTGGAACAGAGTGAGATTTAGTAAAAATGTCTCAGTAAAAAAGAAGATAAATAAAAACTGTGGTGAAAAAAAATGAAATAACCACAATGAATTTGTAACTTTTTTTTACCTTAAAACGCATGAATTCATGCTTGAGATGTTTGACATGCTGATCATCCCAGCGCTCAAAGTGGCGTTCATCTTGCTTGAAAAAATGGGGAGTTTCTTTCCTGAAGGATTTCCTCTCCTCAGGATGCCATTTTCCCAGTATTGATATTAACGAATTTTCGTCAATTCCAACTCCTGCTTCAAATTAAATAAACTTTTTACCAAGAAATTAAAATGGGTTGATAAAAAAAAAAAATGAAATGAAAAAAATGAAAAAAATGAAAACATTTTTTTAAAGAGAACCTGAGAAAGCCTTGTTGAGAGCTTGAAACTCATCAGTGAGAGCCATTCTCTTCTCTGTGTCGATTTTTCTGTTGATGAGAAGTCAGGCAACGTGTAGAGATCTTCTCCGCCATGCTGCTGCATATATATGAGCTCGAAAGGTTATTTTTGTCATTTTGAGATAAGGGTAATTTCGTAACTTTATTTATGTTTATAAATAATCATAATGAAACAGAAGAGGAGTTCAATGTCGTATTTTTATAAATGACCAAAGTAAATGTGTCATTATAATTTAGCGTTTTCTTGCATATCCTTCTCCGCATATTATGGTGTATTTACTATAAACTCCCAGAACTTTCTACAATTGTAGTTTTATCACCACAAAAGTTTTGATGAATGACCCTTTAATCAAACAGCTTAAATATAATTAAGAGGAGATTCGAACTTGAGATTTCATTCAACGTTTAGAAAGAAAGTAATACTAAACTAAATTAATCCATTTAGTTTCACATATCATAACCAAAGAAAAGATTGGTGCATCATATCATCAAAAAGATTTTTTATTTTCCCTTTTATTTTCTCTCCATTGTAACAAAAAATAGAGTTTTTTCATTTTGCAAAATCATCAAAAGAAGTCACAAGGTGTGATACGGTTGGCAAACTGCCCACTTCAATTAGTGAGCTACCTAGTGCATTAATGGCAAGGGTTCGAAATCCGTTGGAAGCACTTTGTGGTCAGGGGGCAAGCCGAACCCTAAGCGGGGATTAATCCTACCATTCGGGTGTGGGGACACCTTGTGGTATTTACAAAACAAAAAAAAAAAAAATCATCAAAAGAAGATTAGTATGACATTTTATTTTTGGAAATTGAAAAGTTTCTTCAACATTCTTTTTGGGTTTGGTTAACAAGAACATTTTCGACATGTCACTTCTTCATAGTAGATACGTATTCACAATGTAAACACTAGATACGTACAACTATCACAAATTTTAAAAAATAATTGGCTGTGAGTTGCCAAGGAATTTTAGCCGGCCTTACAAATAATTCTGTTTTAAAAAGTATAGAACGAAAATCATTTGTATTAAAAAAGTATAGAAAGAAAGATAGTGTGATAAATGTGAGTCTACAAGTTCAATAATATATTGGTTGGAGAATATAATCCATTGTCAACAACTCAAAGCTCTCCTCTCTAACTCTTTCACACATGACACGTACTGCCTTTTATAGAAGGCAATTCCATCTAGCTAAGATATGCACCTCGTGAGATGAGATCCTCAATGCGAAAAATAAATAAATAAATATTTCAACAGCTTATCGTATTTCACCTAGAAGGCAGAGTTTATTTATTAAATATGTAATTAAGACTTTCTGGCCAAGGTATGCATGTGATGTGAATATCTGAGGAAGTGTACCTGATTTCTTAATTTTGTTTTCTTATGTCAACGGGGTCTAACTTAATTACAGATGAGTGATCTCATATTCGAATCTTTATGGCACATTAGTAGTGAGTGTGCGAGAAACCCTTCATTCCCCTCTTGCAATCTATTTTTGTTGAGAAATTCTAGGATTGCATTCATAATTTAGCCAAAAAAAACACTAGTCACAAAGGGCCAATACAAACTAACCACAAAAGGCCATTACAATAACGGAGCGGTCTAACATTAAAATTAAGATAATCTAGTGCACTTCAACTAACGATCACGCATGATCGAAGAAACTCTAACATAGGCATCCCAACTAAAATTGCAAACTTAGGATAATAAAAAAGAGATAAAGCTTGAAAAAACCAAGCGATAACAATACAAATAAAAAACTCACAAAGAAAATGTCATTATTGAGATCTCAATATTATTACGCACATCAAAAAGAATTTTGGCTGCCACACTTAAAAACACAAGGTTGTAAACAATTATGTCCTACATATATTTCTTAAAAAAATTCGCAATCATGTTAGATTATTGAATTCTTAATTCAAATATATGTGATTTCTATCCTCTGTAGAATCTCTAGACAGATAACATATAATATCCCACATCTTCATGGAAAGAACATGTGTGGTTGTAAAATATTGAACAAATCTAATCAAATAATTTGAACTCAGTCATCTCATCTTTCAACACAAGAAGTTGGCTGGCTTTTGAGCTATTCCAGTTGTATCAGAATCATATATAACACAAGAAGTTGATTAGAAAAGTATTCAACATATATATCCAAATAAAACCATCTTTCAGCTATCAAATCAAGAACATTGCTCTCTACAAATCATGAAGGGGGAAAAGCTACAAATCATGGCATGGCCCAAAAGATGTGTTAATTAAGAGTAAAAAAGCAAAGACATTGCTCTTTGTGATCTCACTATTTTCAGCAGCTGTGTGGATCATGTGGATAAATATTAGGGTTTAGGGTAAAGATATGTATAAATATTTTAGTTGAGATCCTTATATTTTTCTTTGTGTTAAGTAGCGTGTGTAAAGTCCCACATCGGAAACTTGACTAAATAAACTACAACTTATAATAAGTGGTTACACTCTTAATAACATCG